ATATATATATATGTATATATGTTGATTTTTTGGCGTCAGTCTCATGGCATTCGGCGCGCTGCGGCATCATACGATCATACGAGCAGTAGGATCGACAACTAGAACCATTCGCAGTACAGAAGAAGGGGAATAGTGACGACAGACTACTGCCTCACCGGGCTTCACTGCTCGCCACACGGCCCTGAAAAAAAAAACAAAACACGCCTCCACTTGGTTTCCGGCGGCCTGGACGAGGTGCGTCGGCATACGGCCGACCCGACCACCATCCTCGCGACCAAAGGGATGGGCTGAGTTGGGATTCCTTTTGGGGGCTCGGTGCCTGACGGCAGTTCATGACTGTGCAACCACTTAGAACAAACGCATCTGCTGGAAGGGGGGGCTTTGCGCGGAGGGGTCAGGGGTTTGTGGGGGGCTGAACGCTGGTGGATTTCTGTGGGGTTTAGGTCTGGGAGCTTTCAGGGCTTGGCATGTAGTTTCGAAGCCAAAATTAAACGCCCAACACGGATCCAGATGCCAAGCTGCACTCTCATGACTCATTCTCATCAGCACCACCATTCCCAATCTGGAACGATGAAACGACCGCTCCCCCCAAGCCCGCGGATTTTGAACGGGCGTCCTCCTCCCCGTAGTCAGTGACCAAGCTGCTGTGCTTTGCAAAAGGCTCCTGCTTTACCATCTCTCAGAAAAGGCAACAGGAGGCAACGGGAGGGTCGGCGGCAGAGGAAGAAGTTCAGTGCGGATGCTCGCTACATGCTGCACCTGAAATTATGCAACTCATGCTCGGGCCTCTTCCAGTGACTGAGAAGGAAAACAGCCCCAAAAGCCATCACGAAATCTGTTATCATGCAGCACGAACGTGACAATCCAGCTTGATCCTCATCCCCATTGTCGGTGACGATGCTGGCGTGTTTCGCAAACATAAGCTCCTGAGCAAATCCGGCTGAAGCAAAAGTAAACAGAGGCTCTCTCCGAAAAGGTAATCGCAAAGCGAGCACTCGCCCAAGATGCGATTCGCCTCGTCCTCGTCAGAGTCAGCAGGACCTGTGGTCAATCTCCACACAAGTAGAGATGAACCGGGGCTCCGAGAAACATGGGTAGGCCTCCTCGAACTTCAAGGCTACGCAGATGGTCGTCTCACTTCTTTACAGTTAGTTCCCAACATCTTTGTGACTCTAAAGATCTCTGACGCTGGTTATACGAGTACACTGACGTCAAAACTAAGGGTAGGGGCCAAAATGGAACTCTCAGGCTTGTGAACAAGACTTTCCCACACGCTGCTACACCCGTGCTGCCAAGTGAGACATGTAGACCCCTGATTCGCCTACCCGACTCTTGAGGGATCTTGGAAGGAGGATCCCGGCCCTGGCATTATCCTTACGAAGGGATGAGTCAGATTTACTTATCAAAGGCTTTACACTAGTTAGGTCCGTTTTGGGCAGCCCAAGTTTCAGAGGCCCGGCTATTCAGGGCGGTCCGTTCCGCTACCACTCTCGTCCACCAGGCCTTTGGCCAACCTTCCGTTGCTGTTCCGCCGACCCCCGCGAGCCTTGGCCAAATCGGATGCTTTACTCCGGGCTCAGGAAGGAGGTACTCACGTTGCTCCAAGGGAAAGACTGTATAATCCGTAAAGACAGTATTGTTCAGGTAGCCTTGCAGGAAAAACCCTACATCCTCCATCCAACCCAAAGCCTCAAACCCTGAACATTCCCAGCAAAAATACTCAAAGTCTGGAGAAGATGGCTCATGCCCTGCAAGAAAGTTCTCAGCGCCTCATGCCTGAAAAAACCCTGAAACCAAACTCCGCATGCCCAGACCTGGCAAAATGCGGAAGCCTGCTGGATCCTGAAGCTTGACACAGAAAACCCCGAAAAACCTGGCGCTAGAACACGAACATCGCCGAATCCTAAACCCTAAACCCAAAAGGAAGCTCTTGGAACACGGCCCCGGTCACCTGGAGGTGCTGCATTCCCCCCGTGGCGGCCGGCCGCTGCGGGGTCGAGAACCAGCCCTCAGGTAAGAGGCGACGCAACGCGGCGTCGTTGCGAGTCTATACTGAACTTAGACCCCTAGCAAAAATTATAACTTTAGCTGCTTCTTAGGGTTTATAGTAGCCAAAGATTAAAAATTATTTCTAAGTACCCCTAAGGAGTGGGTTAGGGGAACTCAGTCGACCAAAAGGGGTCGGCCTCGTCTCCGCCATCGGTGAGGATGCTGGGGTAGTGGGTCATCATCATGGCATCCTGCCCGCAGATCCGTTCATCGGCTTCGCTTCACTTCACTTCGGGGCGTGGAAGTCTGGTCAGGACCCCGGCCGAAAGGCCCATCATATGTGCAAGTCAAAAAGAAACACTCCGGGTGCCAGTTGAAGAACCTATGCCTCTCCCTCTCTCTCTTTCTTTCTTTCGCCAGGGTTATGGCATAGGGGAATGACCCCCTATACCGCTCTCTCTCTCTCTCTCTCTGTCGCTCTCCCGGGCATGAGGGCCGGTCAAAGCCCCCGAGCGCCAGGCCCACCCGATTCTGTATCGGGCACAGGGGAGTGGGAAACGAGCGTAGAACGTCAAAAGGCTAAATCCAGTAGAGTGTTAAAGAAAGGATCTCTTTCTTTCGCCAGGGCTGTGGTGCAGTTGATTTCCCCCTACACTCTCTCTCTCTCTCTCTCTCTCTTTGCTTTGCTTAGGGCATGGGGCGGGAGCAGCCCTCCCGTCCCGCGCGAGTGCGCTGCCCCATCCATCATTTTCAATGGATGGGCTCTGCTGTACCAGGGGTGAGTGCCCCTGTTGGGCTGGTTCCTCTGGGGATCGGCGGGTAAAGGGAAGCAAACACTCTGAGGCCCGGGCCCTGCTCAGGAGACTAGATTTACTTAGCAACTGCCGGTCCCCCGAGGTCTTACAAGGTGCACTGCCAAGGTCAGAAAGGCTGTGCCTCGCTACATGCTCTCACTATGGTACACGGTAGTGGCTGGTCGACTTGAGCACCTCTCTCTCTCTCTCTCTCTCTCTCTTCCGGGCACAGGGGACGGTCAAGTCCCCCGCACCTCAACCCACCTGCACCTATTGAACGGGCCAAGGGGAGTGAAAACGAGTGCAACTCTTCAGGCTACAGCTCTCTGCACGCCCTGGTCCCGTCCTGTGCTTCTCGTGAAAAAACAGCTAAAAACAACACTGCATGTCGACATCGTACTATAAGAATAGTAGCATCTGAGGTCGGGACATAGGTCCCTATGAGCGACAGCCGTCTAGTCAAGGCGAGGCCTGCACCTAAATTTAAATCGTAAACTGCTGCACCCAGGCCTCCAGATCCTCGTCGTCGCCTCTCAGATGCTCTGGGAAAAGAGCTGATGATGCTTCCCCTAATGCAGGAACCTGATTAAGAAACCCTGGCCCTATAACTACAATATATTAGGGTTCAGGGTTCATATTAAAAGCCCTTGATAAGGCCCAGGGTTTCTTAATCAGGTTCCTACATTACCACTAAGCACGCCAGGACCAGCCTCGGCCGAGCTTGATGCCACTGTTGCGCCGGCCCTTGCCGATTCACCATCACAGTGATCAACACGAAGTCTAATCAGTGTTCTCGACTCTACTGCGAGTGTCGGTGCAGTTACGACAGCGACGTTGTTTTGATGATGGTGATGCAGATGGGTTGATGATAATGGTGAACCAAGGATGAGGAGGCGGAGCGGGAGGAGGAGAGAGGGGAGTAGGAGGAGGAGGAGGAGGAGAAGAAACGCGAGTGGGAGGAGGAGGAGGAGGAGGAGAAACGCGAGTGGGAGGAGGAGGAGGAGGAGGAGGAGGGGGGATGATGGTGATTCTGGATGCTGATGATGGTGATGATGATGATGATGATGATGATGATGATGATGGTGATGGTGATGGTGACGATGATGGTGATGGTGACGATGATGATGATGGTGATGATGATGATGATGCTGATGCTGATGCTGATGCTGGTGATGGTGATGGTGACGATGATGGTGATGCTGGTGATGGTGATGGTGATGGTGACGATGATGATGGTAATGATGATATTGATGACGACGACGACCCTGGCTTTGCTGAGGATGACGACATCGATGACGGTCATGAGAAGCACAGCGGCGACAACCGGAAAAGGACATGAACCATGATAACCCAGGGTCTTCAAGTCAAAGTCCAGCCACCGGTGTAGCAGTTGCCCGCTTGGCCACTTCCAAATGCCATGCACTGGGCTCGAAACGCGCCCGCAAAGCTATCCTTTGTGGTAACTTCCCCGCTGGCAGGTGTTCCCTGCAACTTAATGCGCGGTTCCTCGCGGTTGTCACAGCTCCACGACACTCAGCAGCAGCATTTCCTATGCTGTCATCCTGCCCATCTTTGCCGACCATCTCGCATTGGTCGCCCTGAAAGAGTGAAGCTCCGGACTGCGCTGATTTCCAGAGTCGCCAAGGAGGCATCATGACCTTTCCGTGTGTAATCAAGGGATCGCACCATCTTACGGGCCCAGACATCTCATTCACTGAAGTGATGAAGGCATCGTTGTTCCAGTTTCGGGCTCAAACGGCCAAGACATTAGCTGCCTGGGAGTCTATTTGCTGCTTCTCCATGCTTCTGCAGGACTCATGGAGTGATTTTTGTGGAACAGCCGCTGCCCTTGCCCCGCCAACTCCCCCAAACCAAGAGCCGGCTCCCCTCCAGCCTGCAGCGCTGGAACAGCCGCTACCCCAAGCCCTCCTAGCGCTGGAACAGCCGGCACCCTCTCTTCACCAAACCCCCCTCCCTGCGGCGCTGGAACAGCCGCTGTGCCCACCAAACCCCGCCCTCCCCCGAAATCGTCCTGTTCCTGCTGGGCATCTACTGCCTCACAGGAGTTTGTCACTTGGTATTGTCTCTGCCCTTCTGCACATCGCTCTGGTCCCCTGCGGCAGCTCACCGGCCAGCAGCTAGCATGTTCCGAACATGCCGATTGTATCACCAAGTTCCCACGACCACAACCATGACGATCACTAAGAGCATAGTACACTGTGAACATCATTGAGATTCATCATCATCCATCAGCTTCAAGATCATGTCGTAGTACTTGTAATCGCCATCATGCCCAAACCCATCAGACACAGAACGACTGAATGACAAGAAGACTGATGCTGTGTGGCTTTGCACAGGGCTTTCTCAAGCACTGGACTCTTGATGGGCCACAGCATTGATTGCTGCAAAAAGCACCCGTGATCCTAGCTCTGAGTGAAGCTGGTCACACGTGCACCAACGAACATTGCGCAGTCTCTTCAGCCGATCCCTCTGCAGGCCTGCCAATATGTCAGGTTCGGCATGGAGTGCATGGGCTGCACGGTCTCGGATGGGACAGGCAAGTGAGGGAGCTTTGTAGGTTCCAACGCCTCTCGATCCCCTGCAGAGAGCACAACACCAAGAGTCAGGTCATGCCCCTAAACCCTAAACCCTAAACCCTAAACCCATGCTCCGGGCACCTCATCGTAGCTGAGATCTGTCATCATGCTGTTGAACTTCAAGGTCGCCGGTATTCCCTGCAGAGCTGGATTTATATCCAGGGCTTTTAGGCTTTTAGATGCTTTTTAGAGTCTTCATGACCTACATGTTTGGGAGCATAGAGACTGAGAAAGATCTCGAGGCTTGGGGGAGCTTGCAAAGTTTATGGACATGCACAACCCAACGGCTTCAGATGTGGAAGGGCTTCGATGGGCGACACTAACAGCATCCCGAAAATCTCGATCCTCGCGCGCATCCCCAGAATTGCATCTGCTCTGCGGGGTCCTCGTCCTCCTCTAGGCCCCCTCGAGTGCCTGTGCTCCGGGCCTCAGGGTGGGGCGTCGACACTCGGGCCCAGGCAATGCCTTCAACCCTTCACTGGTTGCAGCCCGGTGGCACTCAGAGGAATCCTCATGTGTGCCGCCAGCACACCCTGGCGGCACAGGCACACGAAGGTCTCCCAAGGAAAACGGAACATGGCAGAAAGGTCGCCGCGTAAAAACCGGGCCTCGTCACCGAAGTCTTTGGTCAACTTGCTCACGTCCTGCGTCTCGTGAGTAGCGAAGCGAACGGAAGCCGGGCTATGGGAGGCCCGCCATCCATAGACTCAGGACTTGGACCTCACCCGCAAAGGATCCGAAACCGAGAGACCTCTTGCAACTCCCAGAAAAGGCCATGAGTGGAGCTCCTGACTACCAGGCGATTCAAGACAGTCGCCATCCTGCGGGCGTGTTAGGGCTTGGGACGGCTTCCGGATTCAGAGTCACCTCTTGGCCACAAGGACTGAAGCCAATGCAATCCGACCCATTCCCATGGTTTCTGTGGACTCATCACAGGATGCGTGAACTTGCCAACTGTGAGGAGTAGCAGTGCATCAGAGCCTTCAACCTCAGAACTCAAAGGACGGTTCGTATCTGGAGAAGCATCTTCGGCAGTTTCGCTGCGTTTGTCAGGCATAGGTGCAAGCTGAACAGGTAGCCAGCAGCCAGCCTGTGGTGAGGCGGTGGTCGGACTGATCGTAGGCACCTCCTGGCATGCTGACTGACGTCTTTCAATTTCAACAATCTGGACGATGTAGCCGATATAGGTTATGAAGTTGTTCCCGATCCTTGCTTTCCATTGCTGCCCTGGCGCCTCGCTGATCGCGTGCATGCTCTTGGTGCTGCGTGAGCTGGCGTTGCCCACACCTAGATCGCTGGCCTGGGAAGAGCGCTGAATCTCTGAGGCTATATATACTTATGTATAGGTCCCGTAGGATCTGTAGCGAGGCGAGAAAAATCCTCTCTCACGCCTGGGAGCACCGAAAACACCGAGGGGAGCACTGGCAAACGCAGGCTCAATGGATTTGCCTCATTTGAGGACCTGGGCTCCAGCCAGTGGGGTCCCAGTCCCCACCCCACACAGAGAGTACGAATGCCCTCGGCTCGGGACACAAAGCAAGAACCCTCACAGCCCTCATGCAACCGACGGTCCTTTTTTAAAGCGAATCCGCCTCACACTGCCGCGCTACTAGCACCTCGGCTGTGCTGTCAGCTTTCAGAGAAGGCACACAGCTGTTCATGGCCTAACGTAGCTGTCATTTCTCATCGTTAAGAAACGCACTACTGACTACTGACTGCTACGCTACTACACATCCGCTGCAGCCATAGTATTTCCGATAACACCAGGCTCACGTCCACTGCGATGATTCCAACTACTACTGCGAAGGTCCACACAAGACTGCAGGCAGCGTATGTGTATGTGTATATGTAACCGTATAGTGTGTGTATATATATATATATATATGGTGGGAAGAAAATATGCGAAATTCGACTGACAGTTAGACAGTTATCTACAGGATTATTGAATCTGAAAACTCTGCCATCTTGATGCGGCTCTTTGTACCTGTATGCGAAACGCCGACTAATCACCATGGCCACCATCTTGGGCACTGTTACGCGGCTTTCAACACAACCTACAGTTACGAACTGATTGATGCGAAAAGATGTGATAAAGCTCCCTTCTCCTGCTGGAGCCGCTTCGGGATCAGGGACTGACTAGGGGTCAGCAGCCTCAAAGGAAGTGCAGTCCGACTTTGGAAGCCCTTGCACCAAGTATGGGCCAGGCGTCGGTATCCTGGTGAAGGCCGTGATAGGGCGGCGCTCCGCCCGTCTCGGACCGATACATCGCATGCAGCGTGCGGAACTCCCGCCGGCCGGACTGAAATCCGCGGACCACCTGAAAAACAAGGAGGCAGAGGCCAGAATAGAACATGCACAGGGATAGGACACCACGACTACTACGACGAGACGTACCACTGCCGCTAGCTACTGCCCAATTGATACTACTGCTGCTACGGGTACAACTACCCTTATTACTGCCACTCCTGCCCCAGCTGCTGCTTCCTGACGCCTCACAAGGTTGACAAGCTAGCCCCTTCCCCAGCCAAGTGGAGCCTTGATGTGCTCATCGTCGTTGTGCAGAAAGCGTTGCCAGCGCCTCGCCTCCTGAAGCGCCTCGTCGCTGCAGGCGTCGACGGGCAGATCTTCGAAGTTCTCCTCTGCATTTCGACAACACGAAGGTTCAGGCAGATTCGGCTCTGCTTCAGGCTCCGAACAAGCTCCACGTCAGGTCTTGCAAGGCGAGTCGTTTGGCCGGAGAGTCAGAAACGGTGCCTTCTAGCCCATCGAAAGCCCATGAAACTGCAGGCCCACCTGCAACAGCCCGGCAAAGAAGCGACGGTCCGCTGCCTTGATCTCAAGGTCCTTGCAAGGGTCACGGCTCTTACTGATATTTACTGATCAAGGTTTTGATAGCCATGGTGAATAAGTATAAGTCTACCGTGATACTACCATGTCTCTTCAGAACCACGCGACTGGCAGTTTGCAATAATGTCTGTAACATAAATACTGTTTATAATCTCTACTCTACAGTAGTATAAAGAGATGCATATATGCATATGCACACATACAAGAATCACAAATACATTACCTCAACCACCATTGCACCGTGTTACAGTACTTAGTTTACTACATTGCATTGCATTACATATGTACATTTGTACATACGTATGTACCTGCCTACCTACATACATTCCTTCACATTTTTATTCTGTCATTCATTCCTTCACTCATTTATTCATTCATTCATTCATTTATGCATTCATTCATTCATTCATTCATTCATGTATTCCCGCATTCATTCATTCCTGCATGCCTTCATTCCATGCATCCTTCATTTCATCCATTCTTTAACTCATGGGTTCATTCATTCGTTCATTCTATCAACCATTCATTCAGGAATGCACTCATGATTCATGAATGAATGAATGAATGAATGAATGAATGAATGAATGAATGAATGAATGCATTCTGGCATTCCTTCATTCATTCAATCATGCATTCGTTCGTTCGTGCGCTTCATTTTATGTCCATTCATTCAATCATTCAGTCCTGCATTTAATCTTACACTTGCACCTTATTCACCTAAATAACATCACAACACTCCACATTACATTAAAACTATACATAAATATGTACATGCATGCATACATACATACATACATACATACATACAGATGTACACGCATACATACATACATACATACATACATACATACGTACGTACGTACGTACGTACGTACGTACATACATACAGACATACACACATACATTGAGACAGACACGTATGTGCGTATGCGGGTATGTGCAGACAGACAGGCAGGCAGGCAGACGGAAACACGGACGAACGGACACACTGGCACGCAGACGCGCATGATATTATACATACATAGCTAGTAGTATAATACTGTCATGCTATATCGGTACGGTTGAATTGTCATTCGTCTCCTTGTTGCAGCACTGTTAGTGTGGCTTCTGTACTATCACATGCGCACCTTCACGCAGTGTTCCGAAGTAGTCGTAGGACCGTAGCATGCAAACATTGGTCAGTTTGTTCTGCTCCGAAGACTCAGCGTGTCTAAGTTTCTGGCTCTTTCTAACACTCTGGCAGTGCTGCGAAGGCCACTGCACAAAGACGGCTACAAGTTTATAAGCAAGGCTGAAGGATAGGAAGCACTTTGTCAGCACTGCTCCCTATCCGACACTGCGGCGCGACGGTGAAGCGAGCAAAGACTCTTTGGAAGAAACCGTATGCATTGACAAGCAAACCGCGGAGGCCAAAGCTAACCCAGATTTGTGGAAGTGTTTCTAGTCTCCCCTCGTGCAACTCTCTCCTCACGCATGGACTCGTCGTTCACCTCGCCGATTGCCCAGACACCGCTGAGGGCCCCCTCCGAGAGGTAGCCGGTCAGGCTCCTTGCATGGACAAGTGCAGGTGTGCATCATGCTCTGGAGCTTCACATGTCTGCTAATCATCTTACAGAGTCGCACAGGAAAATAACACGACAGCACGCGCTCCGATACCATTTAACAGTATGTCGTCCGCTACGCCTTCATGATTCTCTGCACGTGTTCCTGTGTCCAACCGTTTAGCAAAATAAAATACGAGCAAACCGCGTCAGAGAGACATGTACGGACGCATAATGTATAATCTGAGCGTATGCGTGCATGCTACAGTGCTACAGAGTACGGACGTTTGTTCATGTCAATAACTTGCCTCTGCGGCTTACTTAAGTTCACATAGTCATGTTCACTGACTGTAAGCCTAGGAGGTGTACTGCGGTATAACGAGGTCCCCAGCGCAACGAGATGGGAAAGGCCTTCCGCCTACGCCAACGGAATCCCTGTGACTAAAAAGCTTGCCAGTGACATCGCTCAACTCTCCACAGATGTTTACATATGGGATAGGCATAGAGGGATGGAGATACGGGCATCGGTTGTTCATGTGGATGTTTTGTATGCATGCGCCTGCATCCTAGGGGGGCTCGCACATCAATACACATGGAGCGAGCACAACAAAGCACGGGTAGAAACAGATCCGGAGGAAGATGCATAGCCGCAGACGTCGTTGCTAAATCTCATCGTGCAACACACCGTGGCCTGGAAGCTTGAGACGCTCAAAAGCCGGAAGGCATGCACAGCCCAATCCCGCGTCCTCGGCAGAGCCACCAGCTCCGGCACCAGCAGCGGAGAATGCACCTCGGGCGACAGACTTGGGACTGGTCGTGCTCTGGACCTTGAGGCTGCGTGGAGCTGTATCGGAAGTCTAGCAAGGCCACTTGAGCTGCCAGCACCGAAACTTCGGGGTTGCAACCGTCCCAACCCAACGGTCAACGATGGCAAACTTGGAGAAACACAATGTTGCGTGATGCTCCCCAAGCCATGGCACAATCCTGATTGAACGCTCCTGAAGGCCTGCCAGCGTCAGCTGCTCAATGCCGCCTGGGAAAAAGACTACTGCGAACACACATCGTACAAAGAGTTGCCGAGCAATGCAGAAAGCTGCAGGGGTAATATCTACTACTACTACTACTACT